CGACGGCCGCGGCTGCCCGGCATTCCCGCGGGCCCGGGACGATGGCGCTGGACGCGGCGCCCGGGTCCCGCCTGGCCCCCGAGATGAGCCGGCCCTGGCGCGCCCGGTTCCTCGCGCTCCTCTTCCTGCTGGCGCAGCTGCCTCCGCCAGGTTCGTCCGGGGCCGGGGTGGCCCCCGGGTCCCCGAGTCCGCGGACGGGATGGGGGCGGCGCGGGGGACGGGGGCGCCGAGGGCCGCGGGGTTGCGTTGAGGAAGTGGCGAGCCGGGGTCCCCGTGCAGCCGGGGCGGGGCACAGGCTGGGGGACCCCCCCCCGGGTCCGGGCCGTGTTCGGGCCGTGTTTGGGGGTGTGAGGTGTGGGTTGCGCCCGGGGTCAGATCGGATCGAAGGAAGAGGCGCAGTACCAGCGGGGGGAGCCCTTTGGGCGGGGAACCTGCGCTGACCACCTGTGTCTCCCCCCGCCCCCCACACCCCAGGCGACGGCAACGAGGGCAGCGCCATCGGGACTTGTTACTGCCACAAAGCGATTCCTTCCGGCCCCCCTCCAATGGCGGAGTTCATGGCACATCTCCGAAGACACCTGAGAGCCTACGATCGCTGTAATTCCTACGTCAGGTAGTCTCACCGAGCCCTGGGAGCCCCACGCCTCTGGGGGCCTCCAGGACCCTCACCGCTCCACCTGGAACTCCTGGGGGGACCTAGCCCCCTCCCAGGATTCCGTTCGCCCCGTAATTCTCCATACCTTGCTTTCCCTTTCCCACATACCTGGGAATTTCCCAGCCTGGGCAGACAGGGCTCACTGGCTCTTGGCAGTGACTTCACATCTTTGGAACGAGGAAAGAGCTGAGACCACTTTCTTCCTTCCTAGGTTCCAGCTACACTCCCGGAGTGTGTGTGGGGGCAGCAAAGATTCGTGGGTTCAACAGTTGATGAGCTGCTTTGATCGCAAAGGTACGACTTTCCCCCTCCTCCCTGGGGTCTGTCTCCAGGGCAGCGGTCTGCCCCTTACAATCTTCTTTGCCTCTGTCCCCTCCCCATGACACCTCGTGTTCCTATTGTACCTGGTGCCAGCCAAAGTTCCTTAGACCCCAATTCACCCAGTGTCGCTAACCATCGCTGTCCTGATTTTTGCCAGTTCCTCCTGTGCTCTTATTTACTTTTTTTCTTGAAAGCAAGGCACTACTTTTGTTTTCCAGTATTTTACTATGGAAATTTCAAGACTTACACAAAAGTTGAAAGAATTGTTCAGGGAACATCTATAGGCCCACCACCTAGATTCTACGTTATTTGGCTTTTATATATTTGTATTTCATGTCTTTTATGTGGTAGGTACAAAATACAGCAAATGTAACTTATCTTTTACAATATCAAGTTTTACAGCGCGTTAACTATATTTGCTTTAGTCCACGCCCATCTGTCTATCCTATGCGTCATCAATGCACCTTATTGTTTTTAAAAGATTTTGAGAGAGAAAAGAGTGCAGGAGCGGGGGTTGGGGGGTGGGGGAAGAGGGGCAGAGGGAGGAGCAGACTCCCAGCTGAGCAGGGAGCCCGAAAGGGGGCTCCATCCCAGGACCCTGAGATCAGGACCTGAGCTGAAGGCAGATGCTTCCCGGACTGAGCCACCCAGGCGCCCCCACCTTATTTTTGCGATGCATTTCCAAGTTAGCTGCAGGCATGACCACACTTCATCCCCAAGCATTTCAGCATGTGCATTATTGAGCTCAATACTTTATTGCGCTTTTCCTCTCTTGAGGTAAAATTTACATACAATAAGACGAATAAATTGTTATGTGTACACATGCCACTTTTAAAAAACTTAACTAGCAGCTTGTCCTAAAGCAATAACGTCTGTGAAGTCACAAAGCTGATGCGCCGGCTGCATTTTTCTCCTAAAATAAATACACAAAAGGTTCTAACCTGTCGCAGCAGAAATTGTCTGGTGTAGCTTCCGGGGCGCACAGACTGCCCTGTGGGCTAGAGACCTACACGCAGTCTTTCCCTTAATCCTCCTAGCTACTGTGGCCCTTGGTAGGAAAATCCTCCCTGCTCCAGAGCTGGAAGAAAGGCGTCCCAGGGAGGCCAAGAGACAAGGGACAAGGTCGTGCGGCGACCCCCCCCCCCCCCGCCCCGTAGCAGAGCCAGGCTTCCAACCCAGGTCTCTCCACCTCCCCGTTCAGGAGGCATGCCCTTCCCAGTGCTTGTCCCAGTGCTTCCCTGTTGCGGTCTGCCCTCTTCTTGGACTGCTTCTTCACTTGGTACCCTCATCTCATAGCCACGATTCCTTACTTCTCGCCTCTCCAGAATGTGGATACGCTAACTCTGGCAGTGCGGCCCCCCAGGAGCATTTACCTCCTCCCAGCACCCAGGTTCCTGAGCCCACACAAAGGGCACCTTCAGACACGGGCTCCCCTGCTCAGACGTACCCGCCACCCGCCTCGCAGTCTACTGCGCAGCCCACGCTTCCAGCCGGGGCACGGTCCTTGGACAAAAATCTCACCCGTGCCAATGAAATCGCTACATCCACCGAGGGCCGCAGTCTGGCGGCTGGGCCTGAGGCTGGGGAAAGTCAGAAACAGCTGGAAGAAAAAGTGGGGCCTTCAGCGGGGACCTCAGCCATGGTGCCCGTGCTGTCCCTCCTGGCCATCATCTTCATTCTCACCACCGTCCTCCTGTACGTGCTGTGCAAGAGGATGGCCCATTCGCTGCCGCAGTCTCCAGGTAAGCGGGGCCTCCGGGCCCCTCTCTCGGGGACTTGGAGCTTCCTTGGCAGGGATCCTGCCCCCAGTAGCTCCTGGGTGGCTGGAAACCTGCCCCAGGCAGACAGATATGCAGGCTGTCTGCACCGCGGACCATAGGCCATGAGAAGCGTCAGCTAGAGACATTTACAGAATAGGGAGGGAGGGAAGGAAGCCGTCACAGGCCCAAGGACCCGTGCTTGACCTTCAGAGCCAGGCAGGGCTTGGAGCAACGTAAGATGGCAGCTGGAGCAGGCTAGGGGGAGATGAACCTGTGGAGGGAGGTGGGGGCCATTCATTTAATTCACAGATCTTTACGGAGCACCTACTCTGTACTAGGTTGTATGGGTGATGTTTTGGGGTCTAATTCCCCAGCTCAAGCCGTTCCCCCAACTTTCCTTAATCTCAGAGCTGATATCTTAATTTCCTTATCTTTTCCAGATTTGCAGCTTCCTTACATACCCGTAGCATCAGACTCCAAAGCCTGAGCTGAGAGTGGAAACCCGTAAGGGTAGACGCTGAGATTTATTCCCCCATATGCCTGTAATTAACATATGCGAATAATCTCTAGCACCTAATTGGCACTCCATAGCTATTTGATGTTTAATATACAAACACCCGGCCACTGGCCTCTTGTAAACCCTTCCTGGGTTTTTTTCCTATGCTATAATGTGAAATCTACCTTTTACTGTAATACCCTAGACAAATTATGTGTTTAATTACTAAAGATTATTTTTATAATTATTGACTCTTCTTTCTGCAGACATTGGCCTCATGCCCTTGCCCCCTTACCATGGTTCCTGGCTTCAGCCCCTCCGCTCAGGGTCCCACCGCCCCCTTGTCCCACCCAGTCTGTCTTCACACACCGGCTGTTCCTCCCCCGACTCCCCACTGCAGGCCTGGGCCCTCCCCCTCTTCCTCCCTCCTCAGTAGGCACCATGCAGTTTGGTTTTATTTCCTCAATCCCCGTATCACCCACATATGTTCCAGTGAGAGTCTGAGCTCCTTGTTTTCATTGCTGTTGTTTTTATTATTAAAACCCCTAGTTCTTCTTTTATCTCTTTCAATGGGAAGAAGAATGTGTCTTCATTGGTCCAGTCTGCAGAAGCCCGGGGTAGGGACACGGGGTGTTTGAGAAAGTGTGCTGGGTGTCTGAATCTCTCTGTCTGAGCTTGTCAGCACTTTCGTGGTGTGTACCTGCTGGAAGGGTCAGGGCATCGTCGCAGGCCGGCTTGATCTCCAAGTGTCTCCGTCCCCACCTTCTGCCCCTTTGTCCTCAGATACTCTGCCCAGCAGGGCCGGTATGTGGCAGCCCTGACTTCCCACGCTACAGGTCTCCGGGTTTTGTCCCGGGTGCTGTGTGGTGGCCTTCCTCCAAGTTGTCGCTCTGCCTGGTCGGCCTAGTTTTCCAGCAACTGCTCACAGATTCGGGCCACATCGCTGAGCTTGAGGCGAGCGTAGTCCACCCGCTTCAGGGCCATCTGACAGTCCTTCCTTGAAGAGTAGCTGGAGCCCTCATGGGGCTGCCCCGTGGCCACCTGCAGGACATTCGCATGGATCAGTGACCCACCCCTTCCCTTACCCAGCTCCCCAACCCAGAGAGCGCCAGGTCTCTTGTCTCGTTTCTTCCCCGAATGTGAAGCCGTTCGGGCACATGGGAGGTGGCTGGGTGACCCAAGGTAAATCACTGAACTTGTTAACTCACCTGTAAAATGTGGGTACGCCTAACTACCTCCTAGAGCTGTTGCAGGATTAGATAAAGCAGTGTCTGGCACGCTGTAAAAACTTAATGAAGGGTGCTGTTGTAAGAGACCCGAGAACCCTCTCAACCCTGTCCCTTTTCTCGGGGCGTTGCCGCTTCAGGCCCCCGAGGTCAGGTCAAGTTTCTGAGTGCACAGTCTTGCGGCTTTGGCACTGGTCACCAGTCCTTTCCCAGGACTTCCCCGCCAGCGGCAAGGCCGCCTTTAATATCTTCCCTCCGGAGAGTTAAGCCGACCCTGGAAGGGAGGGTTCTGCAAAGGTGTCCCCGCCGGCCCCAAGGGCCAAAGCCCCGCCCCGAAGGATGCCGCAGGCCCCGGCAAGGCGGAGCGCGGGGCGGGGCGCAGCACCTGCCACCGCACGCACCTGGGTGAGGTAGCGGATCTGAGCCGACAGCTCCGCCTCCACGTGCTGCACCGACGCCGTGAAGGCCGCCGCCTGCCGGTCCAGGAGCCGCTCGTTGGTTTTTTCCTTGGACAGTTCCAGGATCACAGTACCTGCGGGGGCGAAGAGAGGGCCGGGCTGGCCGGAGAGGGCCGGGGCTGCCCCCGCGGGCACCTGGCGTCCCCCCCACCGCCGCGAGCGCAGGTGCCGGCCGTTGGGTCCCGAACCTGCATTCTGGAGAATGGCGCCGATTTCCCGTTCGATATCCTCCAGGGCGCGCAGCCTCTCGTTCGCCAAGCTGTAGGTAGCCATCGCGGCTCTGGGGAGCGCCCCCCCCAAATCCACGGGGTTTTTCTCCCTCCGCGAAACGCGTCGCTTGAGCCCGGAAGCGGCTGTCGGCTTGCGCCTGCGCAGGGCGCGCTCGGGGCTGCGACTACAATTCCCAGGATGCTCGGCGCTGCCTGGCCTGGTGAACTACAACTCCCAGGGTATCGAGCGCCTGCCCCGGTCTGCGCCGCCGCCGCCCCCTCGCGACCACCTGTGGGAAGAGGCGGTAGTGAAGCATTGGAGGTCGTTCAGCCCCTCGCGCCTTCGCGACACGCCCGGGGGCTCGACTTGATGTCTTCTACGAGAAGTGCCCGCGCGGCTGCTGGTGCTGGGTGAGGGTGATGGGAGCCCTGGGGTGCTCCGCCTGCCCGCCCCGCTCCGCCGTCCGTCGGGGCCCGGGGTCGGGCGGACTCGGTGAGTGTTACATTGTTCCTCCCGGGCGGGAGCCCCGCTGACACCCAGGCTTAGCAGCGTGTTCCCCGGAGCTGGCTCCTTGCGGCCTTCCCCCCTTCCCTTTCTGGCCGCCGGTTACGCGGCCGGGTCTGGGGATGCGGCACGAATGGGATGGGCTCTCGGGTGACAGCGAGGTCGACCTTTGCTCCGAGGCGTGCGCAGGGTGCACCTGCAGGAGCCCAGAGAGAGGCTTCTGGGGGGCAGCGCTGCTGGAGCCGAGTCTTGCGGGTTAACCAGGTGGACGGGAGGCTGCAGCGGAAAAGGGGAGCGGCGCAGGCAAGGGCGTGGGGCCGGGGAGGGGGTGCCTGGCGCCGCCCAAGTACCACCGGGGATTCAAGTTTGAGCGGAGCGAGGGCAGCGTGGCGGCGGCGAGGCTGGAGTGGGAGCCAGATCAGGAAAAGGCTTGCAAGCGGAGTAATTTGGACCTTGTTCTGAAAGCCCTTGAAGGATCTTCAAGAAGTGTGTTATGGCCAGGTTTACCTTCTTTGGAAAGGTCAATCTGGACAGCCCCTGGAAGAAGGGGAATGAAGCTACTTGGCACACGGTTAGCAAATGAATGGAGACTTTCAGTTCGGCTTGAGGGACCTGGCATTTAACTTCACTCCTTTTTAAAATCCTAATCAAAGAACAACAAGGGGATTTTATTAAGGGGTCAAAGAGAGAGGGGGGGGAATTAATAGCAAAACTTTAGATAGAAGCTGGAAGACAGAAAAGTAAGTGGTGACTGATTTAGTAGTGAAGTGGTAATGAAGCCAGCAGTGGAGAAAGCTTAAAAGCAACTTGATTTCCTCTTAAATTAGTGGCATCATGTACACTGGGGTGTAGGTGATACTAAAATGAGGAGGATTATTTGAAGTAGTTAGACCCCCCCTGCCCCCCCCCCCGATCTTCTCCTTTAATGCATACATCTGTGCAACCACTCAATCCCAACCCATCAGATTCCTGGAGGTTTCTTTGTTGAAGATGGAAAACAGAGGGTCTTTGGTGTGAAAGGCCCACCCAGGGCACAGTTGTATTGAAAACAGAGATTAGGGGTGCCTGGCTGGCTCAGTTGGAAGGGTGTGTGGCTCTTGATCTCCGGGTAGTGAGTTTGAGCCCCACATTGGGTGTAGAGATTATTTAAATGGATACATAAACTTAAAAAAACAACAACACAACAACTTAAAAAACAAAGAAAATAGGGATTAAATGAAAGTTTATTTACTGAGTTGTTCCAATCTGGAATTCTGTACTCCAGCTGTGCTAGGATGAAGGCTAAAAATGCAACAATTCAACAACATAGAACTTAATTTTTTTCCCCCATGGGACAGCCCAGCACGGGTAATTCAGCATGCTGCACAGATCATCCAGAGATCAAGACGAGCAGTGCAACTCTACCATCCTGTAGGGTCTTGTACTCCAACCTGTGGTCTGGAGGCCAGCAGCACTGACATTACCTAGGAGCTCGCTAGACCTGCAAAATCGCAGGCCCCGCACACATCTTCCGAATCGGTATCTGGGTTTGAAGTTCCGCAGGTGATCTGAATGCACAGTAACCTCTGAGGGACACTGCTCTGGGGCAGCGCCGTCTGCCCTGTCGAGACTGGCTTGCTGCCTGCCTGCGTCGTAGCTGGCAGCGGGGGGGAGGAGGAAACGTGGGGGAGGCAGACCCTGGCTCAGAGGTCTGACTAGGAAGTAGCCCAGATAATTCCTACTCACATTCCACTGAATAAACAGTCGTATGGTCTCACCCAACTCCGGGGTTCTGGGAAATCCAGTCCTTACCTAGGTGGCCAGCTTCTGTCCTCACAGCACGGAGGAAGAGATTTTAGGGGAGACGTGGACTCTCACAACAGCCAAAACGAAGATGGAATAAAGACATTTTGATATGTCCAGAGGTGGCAAATTTTTCTGCCGAGTTCCCTTTCTCAGGAGGTTATTAGATGTAGACCCAGAAGAGAAAGCTGCGGGATCCAGAGACTGAGTAAGGCTTCGGTGCTGCAGAGAGGTGAACAAGAACATGGGGTGAAGGGAGATGCAGGGTGACAGGCATGAAGAACATCGAGATCGGAATGGAGCAGTTCTTAGAAGGCTTCTCTTCTTCACGGAGATGGAAGAGAGGAACATCTGCTTTGTTTGGAATGTATTGAGTGCATATATAGACTTTCCGAGGAGAGTATAGGGCAAAATTAGGGATGAACTCAGAGAATAAACAGGTTCTTAAAATGATAGTGATTCAGGGAAGACCACCTGGTGCTAGAAGAGAAAGGTCATCAGGACGACTCTGGATAACTTACGCGTAGGCTTGAAAGTATAAATATTGAATATTGATCTAACCTCCATTGATACCATTCTCTTGGGAGTATGGGATGCCGGGGGCAGGAGGGAAAGTATTCTGCTGTGGGGGAGAGGGGCAGAAGGGAGCTCAGTCTTCCCCTTGTATAGCAGGACGCCAGAGATGCTTAAGACGAAAATCAGAAAGTAGCAAAGTGAGCAGGTTGTTTGGGAATATGGAGGTCAATACCAGAAGGAACATCTGAAGGAGGTGAAGGTAGCTGCCTCTGAGGAGAAGGGAGTTGGAGAGGGGTGGGTATAGGCCTTGTGATTGTGTCCGACCCCTTACACCGTGTGCATATATGACTTTGAAAATAACAACGCACTAAAAGCGAGTGGTAGAGAGGAAACGAGTAGAGATTTACTTCATGTGGAAGAGACCTGGGTGTGGAGGAGTGTCTTCTCTTTGGTCTCCTTCCTTCCTCGAGTAGAAGAGATTTGCGTGGAGAAGAACCAGTGGAGAGAGGCAGAGGTCGAAGAGAGGCGGGTGGTGGAATGAATCGGGGTCTCAGAGGAGGTGGGAGGGGAGAGATCTGAGCACAGGTGGAGGGACGAGCTTTGAACGGGAGGAGGCAGCTTGACCTTGGTTGTAGAGAGAATTGGGATCCATGTTGGTGTTTGTGGGTAGGAGGTGGGAAGTTGAAATCATTCGTCCCTCGCAGCCTCATCTCTGTGAAAAACAGGAAGGTTTGCGAGGTGGTGAGGGAGGTGGCCAGGAAGATGGCGAGGGACAAAGGCTCATCAGGAATTGAGGGCCCAGCTGAGGTTAGAGACCCTTTAGGGGCAACGGCCCCAAATGTATACCCAGCGCCCAGTGTTGACACCTAGGATGTGTTAAAAATTACTTGTTGAATGAACAAATATGTCCAGTTGTGTGATTTTTCTGTGGTGGCGCTTGCTAACCCAGTCAGGCGGGGCCGGCAGGGTGGTGGTGGGACGGAGCCCAGGCTGGGGTCTGAGAGCAGGTGTTTGAAAGGAGGAGCAGTTGAGCTAGAGGATGGGATTGCAGTGGGCAAGGTGGGCTGTGAGTTCAGTCTGGAAAGAAAGGCGCCAAACTGCCAGGGAACAGATGGGCCAAGAGCTTGGCCACACACACACACACAAAACAAACCAAGAAGCCATTAAAAAAGTGATTATGATTGTGTACCGTAAAATTTAAAAAGTGAATTATTAAAAATATCAGGAGCAAAATGCTTTGCAACTGGGGGGGTTGCTGCACAACACTGTGGATGTATTAAATGCCACTGAACAGTTTCAAATGGGTCATTTTACGTTATGTGAATCTTTCCTCTGTGAAAACACCAAAACAAAAAACAAAAAAACCCCAAAAATACAAACCTAGAAACAAATTCAGAAGACAATGACAGACCAGGAAAAATATTTGCAAAATATATGACAAAGAGCTCATTTTTTTAGTATATAAAGAGCCCTTAGAGTACATTAAAAAAAAAAAAAAGTACCCAAATAAATCAGGTTTTATCCTCACTCATAATCAAACAAATGCAAATTAAAACTCAGATGAGACCATATTTCACCTGCTTGATTGGCGGGATCCTAAAGATGCTCACGGTCTTTGACTCCACAAGTCTGCTTTTAAGAATTTGTTTTACAGGGGCTCCTGGGTGGCTCAGTCGGTTAAGCGTCTGCCTTCGGCTCAGGTCATGATCTCAGGGTCCTGGGATCGAGCCCCACATCGGGCTCCCTGCTC